CGAGGGCTGGACCAGCGCGGCTGGGAGGACAGGCTGGGAGAGCTGGAGCGGCTCAGCCTGGAGCAGAGAAGGCTCTGGGGAGACCTTCCTGCAGCTGCCGGGCTGAGAGGGGCTGAGGAGAAAGATGGGGATGGGGTTTTTAGCAGGGCCTTTTGTTCTAGGACAAGGGGTGATGGTTTTAAACTAAGAGAGGGCATATTTAGACTACATCTAAAGAAGAAATTTTTTATCATGAGGGTGGTGAACCCCTGGCCCAGGTTGCCCAGAGAGGTGGTTGATGCCCCATCCCTGGAAACACTCCAGGCCAGGTTGGATGGGGCTCTGAGCAACCCGCTCTAGTTGAAGATGTCCCTGCTCATGGTAGGGGAGTTATACAAGAGGACCTTCAAACATCCCTTCCAAACCAAAGATTCTATGATTCTATAAGTCAAGATGGCTCTGAATCAAAACCAGTGCCTGCACTTCTCAAAGCACACACGTAGCGCACTTCATGGAAACTCTGCTCTGGAGGTGGATGGCCATATCTTAGGACTTCCCAGTGGGACTTCCTCCACCTGGTAATTGGGAAGTGTGAGCAAGTCTATCGGGAGGTTATGGGTTTTGGAGGCTATTTTCCAGCATGGATGTCTCTGTTGCAGGACTGCTTACATCAGATGAAGATTCCTCTACCCAGAGACTCTCTCAGCTGGCCAGATAGGATAGGAAAGGGGTTTGACACAGTTTTCTCAATCTGGAAGTAAACATTTGACTCTGAACTTTTCCTTTTATTTATGATAACAAACTCCTCTGAAATGCAGAAAGTTCTTGTACTAGTTGCCTTTGAATACTAGAAAATATCTTTTTTTTTTTTCCAAATCCATCTTGTGGGTTGTTGAGGCAGATTTATACAGCTTGTGTCTTTTTATTTTTTCCCCTCTGTAGTTAATGGAAAACCCCCAACACAATAGGCTGTGATTATCCACAAAAGTAGAAAATGAGTTCAACAAAATGCTGTTTGGATGTTCCTATTAATTCCTGTTATTTTTTGGTGACTTGCCAACACTGCAAGGTGATTGCATAGGGTGTGCATAAAAGAGGAAACATTTCAGGCGATGCTTAAAGACTCAGATAAGATCAACTGAAACTATAAACAAGTAAGGTATGTTGTCACCCCCCAAAAACAACCCTCCGAACTCAAGGGTTTAAGCAGGGTGTAGGCATATATTCTTCCATCCAAAAACTTATAATGTAATGAAGATCACATTTCAGATGTGCATGTGAAACCAATCATCTAGCACACATTGTTTGAGGCCAATTAATACCAGAAACCAGAAACCACACCCCTTTCCATTTAGTTTTTTTGGCTTTTTTTTCCTAAGAACAAAGCAAACACAGTCAGTGTTTTTCCCCTTTCTTAATAGGATTATAAAATTCTCTGCTGAACATGAGGAATGTCCACCCAAGAATATACCAAAATGCATTTCCCTAGATAATTTTAGGCTGGAAATAACTGCTAAACTTTCATAATTAACATAATGACTGTATTATGGAAGCAACTGTGAAAACCATGGATCTGAATTGCTGAGGATGTAGATCATCCAGAAATGTCGTTTGGAAATGAGGCAGGGCTTGCTAAAATAATGAGATGCTAGGTTTGGAGAGCTGAGGATTGGGTTGTTTATCTGGGAATAGCAGAAGACCTTTTAACATTTCAAGAATTCAAGTGATACTAACCCTGAATAAAGTTCCTTTGATGGTGCGATAGATAACAAAGGTGGTGAGATTATCTCCAAAAACATCTTTGTTTCAGCTTTCCCTCCTTCCTTTCCTTATTAAAAGTGTGTGTTGAGTGGGCACCTGGCCACAGAAAGGCTCTTTACCAGTTCTTGCAATTCCGTCACACATTGTAGGAGGATTTACTAGTATGGGGCTAGCCTGAGGCACAGGAAGAGCAGGCAGATGCCTGGGGCAGCAGGGTTTGGAGATGGGAAAGCCAAGGTGTTTGACAAACAAAGAAGTCATGGGCTTGCTGCCAGACTTGGAGAGGGTTAGCTCAGAGCAGAGTGACTTCTCCAAGCACTACCCTTCCTGAATGGCTTGTGGTAGCAAGCCTGAGAGATTCCCTTGGCCCAGACTTTCATGGCCTGGTCCTGTCGTATTCCCAGTGCTCCCACCACCTGTGTCTGTAGAGGGCAGGGGGAGGAGAGAGGGAGGCAGCCCCCTGAAACCCTGCTCACAGCTTGGGGAGAGGCTTTACAATACCAAAACCCCAACCATGCTGTTTCCAGTGGGTAAGGGATTGCAAGTCAGCTTTCCATTTCTCCTCCTGGTGATAAACTCTGGTCCCTGCTGAGGGTAAAAACACGGAGGAGAAAAGTATATGGGGTTTAATGCCTTGCTGTTCACAGCTACAGATGCTTTTTTTTCCCAAGGTTCATGGAAATCAGCCGGGTGTCTCTAAGCACTACAAAAAGAAGGAGTATCAACAAGCTGCAGGGCAAGGCATAGACACTGGAATTATTCAATAGCCCTGGGCTTACACATCATGCCTACACAAAAAGCATCCAGCTTAAACAACCTCAGCTATTGTCCACCATGCAAACTCTCATTTTCTTCTCCAAGGAACACGAAAAGAGATGACAGTATGGCAGGAGGTGGGGCCTGCTTTGTAGCTCAGTCAATACATTTATATCTCAATCAAACTTGTTTTTCCAGTGGAATTGGATCTTGAGTCAGAATCGGTATACGGCAAGCTAAAGCCAGCAGTAAAGAGCGGTGGCAGCCCAGTGACCAGGCAACGAGGGTCCATGCAAGATGAAGGTGTTTCTTTCTCTTCTGTTGGTTGCCATTGCTTTCATGGAGTTCGGTAAGTTCCTGCTCTGACTTATCCAAACTCCTGCAGGAGATGCAGTATGATAGGATGGGGTGCATCCTGTCCCCTCTGAAGTCCACGCCTCCCATTTTGAGCAGTTTTCAGCAAAAAATCTTTCTTTGGAATATTTCCAGCCTGTCAGATGTTCAGGACCATCATGGTCTCATTGGGATTGTTAGTTCAGGCTCTTAAGGAAGTGTCACAGATGAAGTTTGATTATATTGTGTCATTTCTCTAATGCAAATTCCAGCTCTCCCTTTTTACATGTTTGTGCTCACTCTCTCTTTTCTTTTTTCCTTAATTTTCTGTTCTCTTCTTCCAACTTTTGGTACTTAACCCTGAAGCCATCTAGCCAGTTTAACTGCAGTGTGTGTAGCGGCGCTCTCTAATTATATGTTGCACACGCGGTTTATTATGAGTCCAGTCTGCACAGGGATGCCAGGTAAACCTCACCCTCTGTTTCCATCAGTGGGATTCAGTTGCTTTTCCATCTCCAACTCCGCAAAGCCAAACATGGAGGGGTGTTTGGAATATGAGTGTTTTCATTCCCTAGGAAGCAGGGAATCCCCTCATTGCAGGCAGTCCTACATGAGTGGTGATGCCATAACCTTTAATGGTGGAAGGTGACTGCATAGTGGAAAGGACACCCTGGAATAGACTCCCCATCCCTCGATGCTGCCAGAAGAATAACTTCTTGCACAAAAACTTATTTTATACTGACAATCCCAAGCTCAGAGTTCGTGTTAACCTGGGTGGCCAAGGTAAGTCCAATGCAGGATAAGTGCAGGAGCTGTGATTGTTAATTGGGATATTTGCGTGCTCTGCACTACTCCTCCAGATCCAGACAGTGCAGGGTTTGATTTTACCTGTGCCTGATTAGGATGTGGGGCTGTGTTAGGATCTTTTCCTTTGTATTTATTTCCTTTTTATGTAAGGATGTTTTCCTTCCTCAGTCTTTGGGACTGCACAGCAGATTTAGCAAGAAAGGGACAAATGGGTGGAGAAAGAAGGGTGTTTTGGAGGATTTGGGGGGATAACACAGCTGCTGTTTGGAGAAGCAGACCCAGAGCTGGAACAGTAGCCCTTTCTTTTGTGTAGTGCATTGACTGTCCTGTTATACTAAGACATGTGTCCTGGCTCTAGTCACTAGTAGTTCAAAGCCTTGGGGTGCTTGTGCTGTGTCAAGATCAATGGGAGTTTCATGTGCTCATCACAGCTGCTACAGTAGGGATCAGCTATCACTGGTCTCCAGAGCAGGAGATATTTCCTTTCATCATTATACCCTGTTCATTCTGGGGATTTGTGCCTGTTTGTCAATGGAGAGACAGCAGTTCAGAGAGGAACATCATTAATTAATAGAGGCTGGCTTGGAGAGAAAGGGAATCCATGGTCAGACCTCCTTAAGGGAGAGGCAGGATTCTGAAAGGCAGAATGGAGCAGGAAAGCAATGGGGTGGGATACAAATTCAGTCTAGGATTGACTCAACAGCTGAATTTTGCCATCCTGCTTAATGAGACTTTGTCAAGAGTTGGGCCACCAGGGAGCAGAAGCCTCTGCTGTAACCCAGTGCTGCCGTATTTCTCCATTCTGGTCCTTTCCCACTTCCTTGTCTTATTCAGATGAGTGTAGTCAGGATGGATGCTTTGATTTTGTGGCAAACATTGGCAAATTTTAGAAACTTCACAGTGGATTTGGCAGGCAGTATTTTCTTCTGCACACTCTCTGCAAAACTGGGATAAAACCATGATGTGTCTGCAGTTCCTTCAAGTTTCTTCTGAACATGAGTGGAATCTGTGTAATTTTAGCATTTCCTAGAAAGACAGTCAAGGTTGAAGGATGGAAGATCTGCCAATATCGAAGTGAAGCTAGAAAAATCTCTTCGAAGAAATTCCAAGCTTTTCTGCTTTTTTATCTCCGCTTTTACTTTCAGCTCTCCAAAAAGAATGCACTATAACTACACTGAAATATTTTAGCATTTTGTATTTACCTCTTATGTTAAAGAAGGCTTCTAATATATCTCTATTCCTTTTTATAGTTTGATTTCATTTTTAAGCTACTGCATGTCTGCTTGTCTATGTGTAAGTTCACAAGCTCTTAAAACAAAAAGGGACCTCTACAGTTCTGTTATCTTCACAAATATCTACCCTTCACATATAGGCTGGCTAAATATTCCAAAGCTTGTTCAAAACCGGGCTTTTAGACTGAAGGTCTTTAAGTCTCCGAGTCATGGTGTTTCTTCCCTGCTCTGTGGGATGCCAGCTGACTATTGCTGCTGCAGGGCTGCCTCACTTGCAAAGTAAAGCTGTTTCATTCCAGGTTTTGGTTATTTACTGTGTTAAACACTTCTTTTCAATCTCAGAAAAAAACCCAACTCATAGCTGTATCTGTTATTTAACATATTTATCTGTGTTTGAACCTGTTAGTCTGGGTAAGGTTAATGAAAATACGGAGTTTGTACATGTTGGGGACAATGCTGTCTTCATTCGACGTCTCTTTGTGCTTATCTTCTGTTTGTCGTTGTTTGTTTTTTTTTGTTTGTTTGTTTCTGTCAAAGAGGAATACAAATGCCATGGCTTTGACTTGTCCAGTGATGAATATAATGAAATCTGAGACTAATGACAGAAATTCCTCCCTAAAGATGTATTTGACAGCTGTCAGATGTAGAATTGATGCAAACAAAACATCAGTTCACAATGAGCAACACAGAATAATAAAATGAGCTTTGAATAAAAGCAAGATAATTGCTAGATCTGTTTATAAAAGGGCTCTTTATGGCTTACCAGAACTTCAGGTAAAGTTGCATTATCTATTTGGTGGCTTGCTTGCCTCAGCCTGCTGTTATGACACCCCATTTTAGGCATGCTGAGATGAGCAGAACTCTTTTTCTTTTTCAATGAAGTTTAAAGAGATTTCACTGGGACTGTCAACAGGTGGGGTGAGAACTGTTTTCCAGATAGACCAAGGAAGGACTGCTGGTCTGTGATGGTACCAAAAGGCATTGCTATGACTGTAAACCACACACATTCAAATGTCTGGCTGGGGGGTGGAGAATAGGACCTAGCTGAAGCATTGGGTTCCTCAAAAAGACCTGTGGAGAGCAAAGAGCCCTGGAAAGCTTGTCTAAAAATGTCTTCCTTCACGATAAGAAATACCTGACACTCTTTTTTGACTTAATATCTTTAGCTTGGAGTGCTCTGCAAATACTGCATCACAACAATCTGAGCTCTTCAGTGTCTCTAAAACCTCTCTATCTCAAAAGACTTTAGGCACTGAAAGACTTGGGATGTGGTTATTCTGCATGTCTCAGGGCCAATTGGCATCTGCAGACTTGCAAGTGCCTTTGCATCTAAACAGGGAGGTGATGAAAAACATCTAGGAACTGATGGGTGATAAGGTAGGGTGATCTATCTTGGACTGAATTTGGGGACTTGAGTTCCAAAGTCTTTTTCTGTGGTCTCTGTCTAGAGCAGTACATGTCCTCATGCAGATTATTATTGTGGCCACAGTCATGTTTTTAAAATAACTTTTTACATATTCTTCTCATGAAACCAGAATCTCAGCCCAGGGGAGGGGTTGTACTTAATTTGTTCTCATGACTCAGTGAATTTGATGGAGTCAGTTTCTTCTCTCTGGGACACTCTTCTACCCAAGAGCTCCCAGTCTTTGGAAAGAACTGATAGCATGGATTGAAATTCTCCCTGCTGCAATTCACATTCAAGTCTGACTTCTCTGTGTATCAGATCCTTCGCCAAGGGGAAGTCATACTTGACCAACTTGATAAACTTTTACAATGAAATGACTGGTCTGGTAGATGAGGGAAGAGCAGTGGATATTGTCTACCTGGATTTCAGGAAGGCTTTTGACCCTGTCTCTCATAAGATCCTCATAGACAAGCTGGTGATATATGTACTGGATGAGGAGACAGTGAGGTGGGTTGAAAACTGGATGAATGGCCGGGCACAGAAGGTGGTGATCAGTGGCACAAAGTCTACTTGAAGGCCAGTAACCTAAGGTGTAGCCCAGAGGTCAGTACTGGATCCAGTCCTGTTTAATATTGTCTTTAATGATCTGGGTGATAGAGCAGAATGTACCCTCAGTAAATTTGCAGATGACAAAACTGGGAGGAGTTGCTGATACGCCAGAAGGTCATACTACCATCCAGAGGGGTCTTGCCAGGCTGGAGAAATGGACTGACAGGAACCTCATGCAGTTCAACAAGGGGAAGTGCAAAGTTTTGCCCTATAGAAGAATGACCCCATGCAATATATGCTAGGAACCATCCAGCTGGAAAGCAGCTTGGCCGAAAAGAACCTGGGAGTCCTGGTGGACACCAGGTTGAACATGAGCCAGCAATGTGCCCTTGCGGCAAAGAAGGTGAATGGTATCCTGGGTTGCATGAGGTGAAGTATTGCATGCAGGTCGAGGTAGGTGATCCTTCCCCTCTGCTCAACACTAGTGAGGCCACACCTGGAGTACTGGGCCCAGTTCTGGGCTCCCCAGTAAAGAGAGACATGGACATGGAGAGAGTCCAAAGAAGGGACACAAAGATGAGCATGTCTCCTCTGAGGAAAACGTGAGAGGGCTAGGACATCAGGAAACACTTTTTTACAGAATTACTGTAAAGATTTTACAGAATTTTACCGTAAAGGTGATTGAACACTGACACAGGTTGCCCAGGGAGACTGTGGAGTCTCCATCCTTGGAGATATTAAAAACTCAGCAGGACACAGTCCTGGGCAACTGGGTCTAGGTGGTCCTGCTTGAGCAGAAGGATTGGCCCACATGACCTTCAGAGGTCCCTTCCAACCTCCACTGTTCTGTGGGTCTGTGAATCTGTGATCTCTTTCTGATGCTCTGCTAATAAAAAGATAAGGACAAAAGCAGATTCAAAGTAAAAACAGAGTTGGGGTAAACCAGCTACAAGTGTTTTTACTCTCCTGTGGGAATAACACTAAAGGAACTGGGGGATGTGGTTGGAACTGGCAAGCAGAACAATTAGACACTTGGCATAAATATGTGAAGCAGGGCCTGTTGACTGATTGTGATAATGATTAAAATAAAAATATCTTGCAAATTGCACAATTAAAGTATTGGACTTCTCCTGGGTCCCTGCATGTCTTAGCTGGCTGTTGGCACCCAGGCATGATCTTCAAAGAATTCAAGCACTGAGGTGTTGCATTTTGCAAATTCTGTCTGCTGGCACCCAGCCACTGCACAGAATAGTCAGCCTGGTCTTAGGCAACCCAGTTACTCCCACAGTGATAAGGGAGATGCAGGTGGCTCAAGCAGCTCCTTCTCACTATTTCATGAATTTGCTCTTGATTTTTTTTTTAATTGCCCTCATCATTTTTGTTGGAATTGGGACACCCCAGCACATTCAGCCCATATTTAATGCATGTTCTAGGGTGTAGATTCAAAAATTAAGTAAAATTACCCTTACACTCTCTTGTGGACTACTTAAGACCTATCTGCAAAAAAAGCCAACCTACCAAACACCTGATAACAAAGCAAGAACAGAAGGACAGTCTTTGTGCCCCAAACATTCAGCACCCTGGTGTTGACAGGACTTTCCGGTATCGTGGAGTCTTCTGTGTGTGTGTCTTTGTCTTGCTTGACTTGTTACAGGGGGTCTGAACCTACATTTGATCCTGTGCTTTGACCACCAAACTACTGTATTTCTCATTCTCATGGGTACAAATAGATTTTATTATTCCATTCCTGTTCTCAGTATGAGTGTTTTGGAGAGGGACCCTCCCCAGAGGTATCTGAAGGGGCACAGACAGAATCTGGTGTTCCACACTAAGCCCAACCTCATGTTTTTTCTCCTTGCAGTCCAAACCTTGCAGTGTTACACTTGCCATGAACTTACCGCTGTTGATAAGTGCCTGACAATCCAGAACTGCACGACGAATGAAACCATGTGCAAGACAACCATGTATTCTCTGGAGGAAGGTAGGGGGATGAGTTCTTTATCCATATTTTTAACATGAGTCAGCATTTCTAGAGTGAAGACTTCTGGTGTGGGGAGCAGTACCTTTTCTCATTTAAGTAAGTCTGGAAGAGATCTCCTGTGGGGCAGAGAGCAGTCTGCTGCTGTTGCAGAAAGCAGTCTTCATGTGAGTGAATACTCACTAGAATGCAAGCTCATAGTTAATGCTCAATGTTGAGCAGGGTTAGAAAAAACATGTTGACTTGAGCTTGAGACATGGAACTAAAGAGTTCTGGCTCTGCAGGCCATTTGCACGACTCACACAATGGGTATCTGTTAAACAGTTCCTTCCTGACATAAGAACTCTTTTTGAAACCTGGGTGGAGCAGAGAGGCCAGTAGAGATGAGTTAAGCTCAGTAAGGTGGGGACACCAACTTCTGGTCATTTGGAGGCAAAATAGAAATGCCCTTGAGTTCTCTGGAGCTCTGAGAAAGGCATCATCAGTCTGACTGGTGACCCTTACAGGTCATAATTTCTTCAAATGAAGAAATACACTGGGAAGATGGAGGCTCTCTCTTTTGCATGGTCCTGCTGATAAAGCTCTGGTCACGTATGGGAGAGGCAGGAGATAGTGAATAGAGTCAAAGCAGAGGCAGAAAAAGTGCCTAATTGACCTTTTTCTGGGTAAAACTGATCCAGGCAGGACACAGAGGATGCGAGGTGCTGCTCAGCTTGCAGCCGCTCAGTGGACACTGTTTCCTATACTGCCGATAGGAAGTAGACCAATTTTGTTTGAACTGGACCTAAAACTTTGGTGGTGGAGGCACCTAATGTTTCACTAGGGACAAGGGGAGCTCTCCTCCATTCCTCCCATTCCTAACTGTTCCTTTTTCTTGCTTTGCTGTAGTTTATCCCTTCACGGGAGTCTCGACTGTCACCAAGATGTGCTCTTCCCTCTGTATCCCATCTGATGTGGATGAGATTGGGATGACACATCCCGTCTCCTGCTGTTACTCTGACTTGTGCAACATTGATGGTGCAGCTAGTTTGAAGATCAACTTTGTGCCAGTTGGAATGCTTGCATGTTCCCTTTGTGCCTTCTTCTGGACTAGACTGTGAGGAGCTGATGGGGAGGTCTTTCATGCTGAAGAACCCAACAAAGAAGAGAATAAACCCCTGCCAGCCCAGCTTTCTGTTTAGATGCCTCATGGACAACCCTCAACATCTCCCAGGAACTGCTTTTTTAGTACCAGCCCTTTTTCCATGACCAAGAGAGAAGCAAAACTCAGGAAGTCCTGACAAATTTTTGAACTGAATCTTCAACAACTCTCACTAAACTAACTATAAAGTTTCTTTGCTGTACTGGTCTGGTTAGTTTTGAACTAAAAAATTCTGCTGTATGAAGTATATTTAAAGCAAAAAACCTTGCACTAAGAGCTTCCATATCTCCTTAGAGCATTTTTTTGCCCAGGTGTTAGCCAGCAGAATAGCTGAATTGGCCAGTTTCTCAGATGAAATTCAGTTTTGTGATAGGTCCTCTCCACCCCACAGTTTTGTGGTGGCTCTTTGTGCTGTTTAGATCTCCTTCTTTGTACACAAGCAATTAAGGAGACACTTTCTTTGTCCAAAATATGAGGCAGGAGACTAAACTTCCTGTGCCAGTGATCTGCTCCAGGGAGGCTAAAATCTCTTGTTTTCTGTACCCTTTTGAGCAGAATAAAAAGAATGTTATGTTAAAACTGTAGTGATCACTGAAGTTATTTATAGTGGACCTGTCCTCTGATAAAGTTTATTATTTCACTTTACTTTCTCTCCAAACTTCAATTCCACCTTTCAGTGTTGTTTATACAGTGAGATGGGTTAGGTTTTCTGGACAGTCTTGCAGCAGATAGAAACATAGAATAGAATTGTTTAGGTTGTAAAAGACCTTTAAGATCATCAAGTCCAACCATTAACCTAGCACTGCCAAGTCCACCCCTAAACCATGTCCCTAAGCACCACATCTACACGTCTTTTAAATATCTCCAGGGATGGTGACTCAACTACTTCCCTGGGCAGCCTGTTCCAATGCCTGAAAATCCTTTTAGTAAAGAATTTTTTCCTAATATCTAGTCTAAACCTCCTCTGGCGCAACTTGAGGCCATTTCCTCTCGTCCTATGGCTGGTTACTTGGGAAAAGAGACCAACATCCACCTCACCACAACCCCCTTTCAGGCAGTTGTAGAGAGCGATGAGGGCTCCCCTCAGCCTCCTCTTCTCCAGACTGAACAACCCCAGTTCCCTCAGCCGCTCCTCATCAGACTTGTGCTCCAGACCCCTCACCAGCTCCGTTGCCCTTCTCTGGACACGCTCCAGCACCTCAACGTCCTTCTTGTAGTGAGGGGCCCAAGACTGAACACAGGATTCAAGGTGCGGCCTCACCAGTGCCGAGTACAGGGGCACGATCCCTGCCCTGCTCCTGCTGGCCACACTATTGCTGATACAGGCCAGGACGCTGTTGGCCTTCTTGGCCACCTGGGCACACTGCTGACTCGTGTTCAGCCAGCTGTCAACCAGCACCCCCAGGTCCTTTTCTGCCGGGCAGCTCTCCAGCCACTCCTCCCCAAGCCTGTAGCGTTGCATGGGGTTGTTGTGACCCAAGGGCAGGACCCAGCCCTTGGCCTTATTAAACCTCATACAGCTGACCTCTGCCCATCGATCCAGCCTGTCCAGATCCCTCTGCAGAGCCCTGCTGCCCTCCAGCAGATCAACACTCCTGCCCAACTATGTGTTGTGTGTAAGATGTGCAAGATGTTTCCCATTATCACCCACTGGCAGTGGCCTTTCATCAACATTTCTTCTACGAACTCCACTGCTACAAAACTATCTACTGGTATGATTGGGTGATTTGTGTAACAATTTTGTCCTGAATTTGGAATTCAGTGGAATGACTTTCCCCCTTGCTTCAGTCCTCTAGATCATCATCTGCAATTCCCTGTATGTTGGTAAGGGCTCCTACATTTTTATGTTGTCCATCCTGGTCTGATTCTGCATTTTCCCATAATCCCCTTTTCAAGATCTACCAGCAAAAATGTCCTCCTCTAGTTATCACCCTGCCTGTGAAATTTGAGATCATCATTAAAGATGTGATTTAAAGTCTTCTGTGTAGCATATGCATAAGAGCAGGTTTCCAAGAGAGGTGGTACAATTTCCATTCTTGGAAATTTTAATGACTCAGCTGGATGAAGTCCTGAAGAATCTGAGCTGACATCACAGTTGAGAGCTTTGATTGGGAACTTGGGTCCCCCTTCCAACCTGAGTTTCCTGTAATCCTATGATTCACCCGCTAAGATCACTAGAGTACAAGCACCGTTATTTCAGGGCGCTCTGCAAAGTCTGACAGATATTTCTGCAATGATTTTCACCTGTCCTGCATTGCTTCCCACTGCCAAAATGAGATCAAATTTGGAATGAACTGCAATTCTGAATTCACACAGAGCTCCCAGGTTGCTTGAATAAAATTCCTTTGCTGGAACAACATTGCGTAAGCAGTCAGGGTGCTGCACTGGCGTGGAGGTGGCTGGATGAACCCCATCTCTGGCTATGGAAGGACTTTGGAAAGAAGCTGCAGGCTTGCATTCGCTGGCAGTGTGTGCTTTGCAGTGTCCTCTACCTGTGAGCCATGGCCAGAGCTCAGTCCCCAGAGGTGTTTGATATGTTTCTGGCTTTCTGCTGCCAAGGGTGGTTACATGGAGATTCTCCCTTTCTGTCTGTCTGTTTTGACAGTGAGTAGTCTCAGGGTTTGCTGGCCCAGGGGCTGTATCAGGACCACTGTGTGTGGTAACCAACAGTGAAACACCACCGATATGTCTTATTCCATGTTGAGTTTATTCACACTCCCAACCTTCACAGCACCCTTTTAGACTTAATACCACCATTTCATTAAATGTTGTTTGCTTCTCTTTCAAAACCTCAAAATCTCTTTCAACCCCTCTGCCTCACAGTTTCATTCAGATCTCTTGTTCTTACAGATGAGCGGTAGTGAGACTGCTCCCTGTCTACCTTTTCTACACCATTTATGTTATATAACCCTGTGTCCACACCGGTAGCTCTTTTCCAAACCAAAGATGCCTTGTGTAAATTGAGATATCACTCACAAATCCATGAGTACATGAACCCATCTGTACTCCAGGTACTGAGTACAATAGGGAGAGGACCATTAAAAATCCTGAATGAGCCCATGGAGAAAGAAGGGTGTAAAATTTTCTCACTAATACCAGGACATGCACGAGTGCCAAGACACAAATTGGGAACTTCATGTTCTTGATGTGCTACTGCTAAGACCGAACAAACACATGTGATTTGTCATGCCCTGGCAAAATGCAATGGTGACAGGCCACTTTGTGGCCACTGGGTTCTGTCATAACCACCTCTCTGCTTTTCATTGCATCACTGAATGATGTTTGTTACATCCAGAAGCCCAGGGCACTTGACCATAGCTGATAACTTTCTTCTACAGTCTGAAGAAATTGAAGTTTCCCTGAAGCAAAGCTGGTGCCTAGATATATGGATAAGCATTTCCTCCTCTTTGCCCATAGGCACTGGTGTCACAAACCCTATTTTATCTTCTTTCTCCAAACAAAACCAAAGAAAGCCCCATTTATTTTGCATTGTTGTAAATGGAGCGTTTATTAGGATGTGGTCAAAGTACCTGGCTAATCACTCACTTGTCAACGATAGAAAATATATTAGACATTTCCTATTCACTGTCCAGAAGTGTATGTATGTCACCACTTCCGCACATGAAACCAACTAATTACATACTTGCAAATCTCAGAAAGAAATACAACTTCCACAGTTTTTCACAGCACTGCTCTTTCTCAGACATGAGTTCCTGGGCTCAGAGTACACTGTCCTTACCCTGTGTTGGTTGATAAGAAGTGCAGTCATGGCCCAGAACATCACAAAATTATCATGTCAAAGAGCATTTAAAAACAAATACATCAGAAGTCAGATTATTGCGTTATATCATCATCTTAGAGAACAACACTAAAAATACCACTGTAGTCATGGACACTGAGAGTATAAGTCATGGGCAGCGATACTGAAAATGCTTGAAATCAAGCCACTGCTGGGCTTAGGAAGGTGAACGGAGCATATGTGGCTGGTAGAGCTAAAGTCGCATCACCGGACAGGTGCACAGAAGAAAAAACATTGGCTCCCAACTGCAAGAGGTGATGATATAGCTCTGTAGGCCAGTAAACACGATAGTGGCATTGCTCTTAATAGGCCACATTCTTTTTATTGAGTTTGCAAGTCCTCAGGGCTGAGGCTTGTTGGGCTCGCTTTGCCTGAACTTATCTTGACCTGCCTTCAGCATTGTTTTTACTTTGTTCAACTGTGACAGCAGTTTTCCTAATCAGCCAGGTAGCTATGCCTAATTCCCTTTGCTTTTGTTTATTTTTGTGTGGTGCAACTGTAAGTTTACATAGATAGCAGTAACAAGGAGCTGTATGCAGAATGAGCTATTTGCAACCCCAACGTAGTGATAGGGTGTAAAGAAATACAGACCTGGTACAGCAGCAGAAGACTGGAGAGGTGGAGGTGTAGCACGTGGCGCAGAGGACTGCAGTCATGGAGTGATAAGAGATGGGGTACTGGCTTGGCATTAGAGACCCCTCAGATATAAACTACTCACCAACAGTCAGTTAAAGAAATGCAGACCCAGAAGTGGACAAAACTGGCTTTATGGATAACAAAGAGAACAAAGAGCAAATATCAAACCAATACACCACACATGATAAAATCAGATGTCAGGACAACCTGCACCTTCCAATCCAGTAAAAAATGCAAGGTATAAAATTGTTTTAGCAAGAATAATCAAAATGATTCACAGTAGGTCCTTGATTGAGGAAGAAGAATCCATCTCCACCATCATACTGCTCCCAGGGGAAGACCTAGGATGCAGATGACTCACTGTACCTCCCTGTAAGATGGGATGCAGCAACGTTAGTAGAAGAGTGAGCATAAGACAAGGAAAACGGGTAGAAGCTGCTAAGCATGTATATAACAATTTTAACTGTATTGTTACTGAAACTTTTTCTATAACAACAACATTTATTTCCTTTTTCTTTTTATGT